TTGCCGAAGTTCCCCGTAGTTCTGCACCTTGTAGAAGGTAGTGTAATGTGCACCTTTGAAGGTACAACCGATACACTGCCCAGGAAAAGCGCTGGAGGGAGCAAATTCTGTTTGACTCCTGCAGAATTTCGTCTCTTCCTTCTGGTTTTCACACCCAGGACAGAAGAAAACTTTGCCATCTTTTCCAGCGTCAATCAATTTCGGCACGCTGTATTCATCGATCTTGAACCAATATTGTTCAGGACAATACACCGGTTTCGGAAACTGAAGGATCACTTCGAAGTCCTGCCACATCCTGCCAGGGCGTCGAGTTGTTTCATCACGTCGTGTTTCCTCTTCCATCGCTTGAAGTCTTTCGGAGGAAATCCATCTGCTCGAGTCCATGGTAGATTCTGGTAGATGCGAAGTGAAGCCTGGTTTTGTCTGACCATATGTCCTTGAAGCGTGGGATCTCGATGGCGTCGGTGTGCATGAGCTCTTGGCATCTGCGCAAAACCTGTGGATTCACATAGCATGCGGCGATCATCTTCTCGTAGAACAACTGCTTCTCATATACTGCGAATGCTCTGTGATGATGGTGATGAGGATCATTGATAGCGACTTGATCAGTGCTGACGATGCAACCAGAGGAGGAGAACCAGATCCCTGATGCACGGCCGAACACAAACATCGCGGATGTCGTCAAGGCCAAAACGTGGGATGCACTCAAGTTATTGTTCAACGGGGAAGTTTGGGTGGACGAGAACACGCGGGTCAAAATGTGCATTTTGTGCGGAAGCCCACATCATGTGTTCGTCAACTGCAAGGTAGAAAACCCACTACGTCAACAAATTGCCGATGTGTTTGAGCGCGTCAAGAAGGTGATTGAGACACACCCCGACACCATCGTCTTCCAGCCAGGTACTGCTCCGGCTCCTCAACCACACAGTGGGGAGAGAGCGTCAGGATCCAACGATCGAATGGATTTTGATAGTGTTGCTTCTTCGGGGAGAAGACCAAAACCGAAGGCGCGACCGAGACAGAACAATCTTCAACAAACTGGAGGTGTCTTCATCGTTCGGTATGGATATACGAATAAGATATCCAAAGCAGTACAACGTCGCCGAGGAGACTACACTTTCGTGTGTTGTGAGAACATCTCTGAGATGGGTCTTCCGAGTCACAACAAATTTCTGGAATGTAGTCAGAAGAGCTCTTGCCCGAGAGATCACAGCATCCCGCAACGTGGAGACCGCAGCCTGTATCGTCGACTTGCATCTGGAGAGTATGAAAATGCAGCGTACGAGAACATTGCTGATGGTGTCTATGGTGGAATCCTTGAGAAGCTACCGCCACGTGGGGGCGCAGTTTTGCCATCCCGCATGGGACAACATCACCATTGCCAAACCACCAGATGATTATACGTGGGAGGCAAAGGATGCTGCAAAGAATGCACTCAGATTTGTTCAGAAGGATCTCAGACATCACATTGGACGAGGGAACAACGCGATCTATCTCGACAAGCGATGTGAATCACCGATCGCAACCATCAAGTGTGATGAAGGCGGTTGGGTGAACCTGGAACGGTTATTGGCGTATGATCTACTATGGTGCCATCATCATCGGAAGGTCGCATACTCTCTGCCCAGAGATCCTGATGCTCGACAACGGGAAATGCAGCGACGGTTACAACTCCTCATTGATGGCAATTACATCAACTACCGTGGTGGTGATGGTAAACTCCGTCTTCAATTTCTTGGCGTCCGGCTACGACCGCCTGAGATTGTGCCCACAGACTTCAACGCTCTGGAGCCTGCATTTTCCAACAGGATGGTCCATGTTGAGACGATGATGGAAGAGCTTAGACGTGACAGACGGACCGCAAGGGTGAGAACAGAACATCTCGAACAGACAGCGAACTGGGTCAGACCGTGGGCTATTCGCGCATCGGCGGGACAGTCAGTCTCTGTGAACACTGTCATGGAACTTGACCCCTCGAAGTTCGCACTGTCAGCATCAATGACACTCTTGGGACAGATCCAAGGTGCCTATCATGCCACCGAGATCTACAACCTGAACGCCATCGTCACCGAAGGCCTCAAGACCGGCAGCGACATGATTGATCAAGGAAGAACTTCAGGAAGATTGCACAGCTACTTTGGAATTTTTCCTCCATGGGATTCAAGGGACAAGCTTACTCGTTGCAGGGCGCGGTCTGATCAAAGGACACCACTGGTGACTTTGTTCGTCCCGATTGTTGATTTGGTCAGAGAAGGGGGAAGAGTGACAGAAAATGGAGCAGTCATTTGTGAAAGAACCGTTCCATTTCACATGGTGAAGGAAATGTGGCTATGCATACCAGGCAGTGCTCCATACGGAAAGTTCGAAGAGATTGAAAAGCTTCTCGACTACGAGCTGGAAGATGAGATTTGCACGGAAATTGACAAGCCACTTACTCCTGCAGCCGACGAAATGCATTGCCATCGCACCTTGGAGAGAATCTTGGAGTTGCTTTGCGAACTTCCGAATGGTCCGCATGATGGAACAAAAGCAGGGATCATTTCTCAACTCTCCGAGTACTTTGGAGTGGATTGGTCACAGACCGACTGGAGTCGGTACAACGCACTCTATGATGACGCAGTGGAATTTGCCATCCTACACTCACCTCCGCCGACCGAAGCGAGAACAAGCAGAGACCGAAATCTCAGATTCCGCATTTGCCCATGGTGCTTGAAGAGTACACCTTCTTGTTTGGCAAGATGCACGTTCTGCTTTTCCATCTTTATTTCCCGTGGAACATACCAGCGTGTCGAAACCAGTGCCGACGCTCCAATGGACATTCCTCATGAAGCCATCGCACGCGCTCGCGAAGAAGCTGCAAACGTAGCTGTCGATGAAGATGAGCCGATGGAGGATGAACCACAACCAGAGGTCGACAATGACAACGACGTTGCCATGGGTGCCGATGATGTGCGGACTATTGCTGAACCTGAAGGTGAACTGGACCTTGATATGGATATTGAAGAACAAGCAGAAGGAAAAGTTGTTGCAGAACATGCACAAGAAGTTCAATCTCGCACTCCCGTATTGCTGTTTGACACGGAATTCCACATTGATCCACAACAAGCTCATTATCAACAAGGGCTCAGAGTGAACATCTTCTACAATGCGGAACCAGCCAGCATCACGGACCCACACTGTGACTATGCGAAGAACATGGCTTACATCATCATACACTTGATATACAAGAATTGGCCATCGTATTCCAAATGGCTTGAACTACCGGTACAGGCAGCTCAAGAAGCATTCAACCGAGGACAATGCCACGATTCCTTAGGAAAGTGGGGACGTCTCTCAGAAGTGGATCCGAGAACTGGAGTACCTCGTGAACTAAATGATGAAGAAGTTCTCCAACATGGCATAGGTCGCGGAGAGCACGATGATCCAACAGGTGACCATGCACTCGGTCGTTACCGCACGAACCAAGTTCTTTCCACTTTTGTTCGCGGAGCTATACAACTTGGTTATCGACGGCAACATTTCTTGGTCGACAATCACATCCGTGAAGGCACTGAGGTGGATACAAGCATGGTGCACTCAAGTTGTGCTGCACTATTGTCAAAACTCGTGGGCAAGATCACAAGGATATCGACAGTTCAGCATGCTCTCTCCGCGCAGCCGCCATTCTCCCAGCTACATCTTCAACGTCGACCCTTCGGCATCTGCCAATTGTGGGGACCGAAAGATTGCACTCTGCAACTCATCACGATGATGGTCGACCTGTGCATCCCTATTCAGCACAAGTACACGACCAGGCTGACGAACCCGCTCACGAGGACCGGAAAGTGTCTATCAAGGCAACGCTCTGCAACATCTTCCTGGAGGCAGCTTGCTACCACCTGGAAGAACAAGCATTCTCAACACGCCCCTGACGGCAGAGGAAGAGGCTGAGATTGCGCCCAAGGCAAAGCCGAAAGCTTCGAGCAGAGCAGCCGCTTCTGATCCCCAAGAGCGCAAACGTCGCAACCAGGAGACCTACCAACAGCGCTTCTCAGGCTCCCGGGATGAAAATCGTGGTGACCGACGGTGGGACCGGGACAGACGCCAATGGTGAATGTCTACCAGTACCTTGTCATCGTCGAGGAGTACACGTACAGATGTGGACATGATTCCAATGCACCACTTTTCGTGCATATGCTTTCTTCGAGATGTGTTTTCCTTCACTGAGGCCAAAGCTGGGGATCGCACTCGACGCTCATCTGTCTCACATCAAAATAATTAAGGCTGATTTTAAGCACTGATTCAACATGCGCCGTTGAGCTTATTTCATGCGTCTCTCTTCCTGGGTGAGTCAAGCCAAAGGCATCACTCATGGGGGGTGTGAAGAGACATCGAAGCATTGTACAATTTCAGTGTGAGCTATGATGACACATGTAGACATCGACTCAGGATGGCTCAGCCGACTGAGTAAGACTGAAGCTTGTGAGAACATAGTTCAACAAGTGGATGTCTATGAAGCTCAAGATATCGGTGCATGGCTCAAGAACTTGGCGCAAGCCAAGCCAGTGATCTAGCACCTGTTGTTCGCTTTGTTTATCATTGTCAGTGCGGGAAGCCTTCTTGCAACGACTGCAGCGTACTACGTCCGCAGCAGAGAAAAGCGAGGAGCGAGTGGATCTGCAAGGGTTATTCGTCACTACGTTGGAAGCTAACGTTCTATCTCAACAACAAGCTCATCTGATAGGAGCAAGGTCATATACAGCGAAAGTGTATACCAAGCCCTCACGCAATGCATACATGCATACATAAATACATACATACATACATACATTCATTCATTCACACATACATACATAAATACATACATACACCCATAGATTTTGTGTGACATGTTGTTATGCATATATGCACTCTTAAAGGTTAATGAATATAGACCTACGTCAACGCCTCCGTCGCGATGGGGATCGGAAGGGCCTTCCAAGGGGCCGCCACCTGACTGCAGGTCTCTTCACGTTCGAGCGATGCTGTGTGAATGCTCCTGGCCCTGGTGGTGCACCACCAGTGTGGGACTTCAGAAAGGAGTCTCAATGCTGGCCATCTTCCGCCATCATGCGGACATGCTGCAGTCTCCGCCTGAAGCTTACCTCTTCGCGTGCGAAGTATACGGAGGCAGGTCCTCACTCATTGGGCGTTTGCGCAGGTCTACCGCAGCTCTGCGCTTCGCGAAATGGAGAGCCCGGGACCTCAGCCGAGAGTTTCAGTGTCAAGCCGCTCACGGACGTCTCTCTCCTTGGGCCAAGGGGGCACATGGAAGGATGTTGCAGCGAGGAGGCAGAGCCGGCGATCCGGCCCGGCGAGCGCAGGCCTCTGCCGCTTCAAGCCTAGGCCCTGCAGGCCCTGTCTCTCGCTCTTCTCGCAGGCCGGAGCCCTGGCTGAAGGGCTGTCACCAAAGGCTCTATGCTGAGGTGGGGACGGAACCGACTCAGCCTTTGAACGGCCGTAGAGGCGTCAAGGTGGGATCGCTTCGGGCTCGTCTCGAGGAGGCAATCTTGCAGCTGCTGGGCCAATGTCTCGGAGTTCCCCGGCTGCGCCCCGACCAGCTCGGCGCCTTGGCAGAGCTCTCAGGCAAGGGCAGGAGACCTTATATGTGAGTAAGGAAGCAACATCGCCAGTCGAGGTGGCCTACTACCACCGCACTGGAGATGTGCTGCCCAACATGGTAGAAATCCAAGAAGGCTTGTTGTCGCGAAAGGCTCGGGACACAGGTTCTCAGAATCCATCTGAAGCCCTAGTGGCTCAGTGACTGAGGTGGATGGGCTGGAGATGTGCGCTCCCTCGATGATGCTGGCTCGGCTGTTAGAGGCGTCACGGTGGGTTGTGCCGCGCCCGTGTGCAACTCCTCCTCTTCAGCCAGGTGGAACGAGACAGCATCTCGCTTCCTCCCACGGAGACGAGGCCTCGCCAACCTCGCAGCAGGGGTGCAGTTTGTTGTGCCTCTTGAAGGTCAGCCTTGACGAACTTGCGCATGTTTTGGGAACGACTAGAGGAAGGCGAGATCAAGCGCCGGTGCTACCTATGGGCCGGGTTCCATTTTGCAGGCTTGGGCGTCCCTGAAACTCCGCCTCCGGGTCCCAGTCAAGGGCCGAGCTCTGCCTGTGCGATGCGCCAAAGCACATGCGCCAAAGCACACCCAGGCCCTGGCCATGAGGTGTCCTGGCTCTTGCCAGGTCCCGTAGGCAAAGCCGGGACCTCAGGGAAGCGACACGCGACACGTCTTCCAGTGTTTTTTGCTGCATCGTGCACCGCTGCAGCGCCCAGTGCCGGGCCGAGGACTGGTTGAATGTAACAAGGAGCAGCATCAGGAACAGCTTCATGCGAATCGATTCTCAGGCGAGGCCCGAGGGCAGTCGGGTAATCACAGAAGTCCCACACCGGGCCGAGGCAAAAGAGCTGGAGTCCCTAGCTGTCTACAGGACAAAACATGGCTTCAAGGTGCACTCTTAGGACAAAGGCCTTTCGGTTTCTCGCCTGTGCGGCCAGCGCAGGTGAACGTGGTGCTGCCGGTCTGTGGCGACAAGGATGACACTCACCTCGACGTATTGGAGCGTGTGGTGCTGCAGGACGGGGGTCATTGTTACGGTGAAGCAAGAAGGACCGTACACTGCAGCCTAGCCGTCAAGCCACAGTCCACATATTTGTGTAGAATCTCGTACTCTCATATTGTGCAAACATCATTCCAAATCATAGCAATTCAAAACTCCGTGCTTGCGATGTTTTGGAATTGCTTCGGCTAATTGTAAGTTATTATGATTTTGATGATGATGATGATTATTATTATTCCTATTACTTGGCTTCATCCAAGGCCCATACGTGCCTAGTTTCTATAGGACGAGCAACCCCGCCGCACATATCATATAAGGCGACTACTACGTATCATATGATCTTTCTTGACGCATAAATTGACGTATAATCGTGATACTATAAAACGTATAGGGCGACTATTACGTTACATATAATATCTCGGGAACGTATGTTATAAACGTATAACAAAAACCATTTGAATCTCATTGTAAAAGCTTTGCGTCGCTCCCCTCGGACCGGGATTCAGATTCTGGGTGGATGAAGTTGTTGTTTAATGAGACTCCGGGGCCCAAGCAACCTGGGAAGAAGGGGCCGGCAGGATGATACCTGAAAGGAGCAAAAATCAAAATGCCAGAAAAACTGGCGGGGGGGGGGGGGGGAANNGTTAGGTGTTGTCGTGTCTTCTTCATTTGTTCATTTCTATCACTGTCTCCTATCTTTGCATTTCCTTCGTGTCTGTCTCGTTTTCTCTCTGGGGTCTCCAACAATCAACTATCATCATGGTCGACTTACTCGTTTTTTTCTTCATGTCCCCTCATTCGTTTTCTCCTCCTCCTCTCTATCTTTGTCCCCTCACTCGTTTTATTCCACACCCCAGTTCCGGCATCCCTATGGTTATGTATTTGTTTCCCCTGTCATGTTTCTCTTTTTCCTCCTCATAGTTTTTCATCATTTTTCATCATGTCCGCCTCTATCGTTTTAAATCATAGTTATAACAACTATATTGAGGCACTTCATAGAACTTCCTTTCTAACATCATGATTTGTCCAACTCAGATTTAGTCAATTAACCAAATATTGGCATTCCTAGGGTCATTTCCTCAGGTCAAAATAAATTTTCAAATTTTTGTCAAACAGTTATCATAGGCATCTTAATCGTTTTATTTCTAAGGTCAAAATCATGAAAAAACTTTAAGTACAAAAAAACAAAAAATTCAATGTTTTAACCACACCCCAGCATAATTTTGTTTCTCATCTTTCTGTTCATGCTACTTCTCACGTTTTCCACTCCCCCAATGTTACCCTCTATTTAGTCCCCTATCACGCTATATCACCATTTACCCTAAAATATTCAATAACACTTATTGACTTATTGACACTCGTATCAACATCTTCTATTCCTAGGGTTTTAGGGCGGTTCAACGATGATATTATTTGTTAGTTAATCATATTATTGTTGGTCAATAGTAATAAATTTTAACCATTCAATTAAATCATTAAAGACTTCTCTTTTATTCAAACATGTTATAATCATTGAAAATATACGAAGATAATGATATAAGAAATATCTTGATTTAATTTCATCTTTATGTTCCTTGTTATATGTGTTTATTAGCATTTCTTTCAATTCTTTTACCTGCACCTCATTAAAGTAATGGTTATATCAAATTGTTCATGAATGTTTTTGTTATACATTTCACTATATTTAGCATAAAACAGAATGTTCATATATGTAAACATCATCTTTATGAACATTATTGTAAATAGTTCCAATACAAAAGTTAGCGCTAAAACCACTCAACACTTGTAATATTATATCTCTATGTTCAGGATTACTAAGCCATAAATAAGACTGGAAACATCATTATCTAAAAAATGGTTTCTTACTTTACAGTCTTCACATCCGATATAAAGATATTCTCATTTACCCCACTAGTAAATAGATTAAAGTTATTCTTCAATTGAAAATGTATTAATTTACAATTTTTTACAGTCTTAATATCATCCTTTATTAATTTACGACCATACTCAATTTCTTTCCCAAAAAACGCTTCTCACTATCACTCATTGCTATAATATACTAGGGCGGTTATTCTTTAAATGGTTTTATTGGAATATCTTAATATTATAGTTGGTTCAACCACTATATTATATCAATTAAGAATATTATGGTTGCTTTAGTTAGAAAAAAACATTGCACCCACTGTATAACTTCAATATAATCAAAGTAGTTTTTATATCCGCAGGCATTATGTTTTATGTATTGATAGAATAGATTTTTATAAACATCATAAACAGGCATTTCATCATTTCTATACAGAAAATCATCATCTAGGTCAGAATCATCAAAGAAAGAAGACTCTGGAACAGGACACGATTGAGAAAACCATTTTTTATATTCATCAAGCCCTTTCAGATAATAAGTGTTATGAACAAGCTTTACAAGCATCCCTTTCTTACAACCTTCTGACTTTTTAATTAATTCTTTCATATAGGTTTTCTTATCTTTCAAGGTTTTTTGTTTCTTGTATTTGGTGTCAAGATGATTATAGAGAAAATCGAACAACTTCGCCTCTCTCTTATGTTTTTTTATACTCTTCCTTTTCATATTCTAACTCACACTGCATCATTTCAGAACATATATGACAACTTAAATAAGACACAATATTATTACAAATATTACTATCAAAAATATTTTTTAACACAACTGCCTTTCTATTCCTATGGCATCTACATACATAGCAATTCTTATCAAACTTAAATAATCCCATATTCTTCCTTAATATACTAGGGTGTTTATTCTTTAAGTAGTTATTCAGTCCATTTCATTTAAGTCATCTTTTTTGTATTTGTAATTAGCTTTATATAAATATTCGTTTCTTTCTTCTTCATCCATTTCCAAAATAATATTGTTTTTTTTTTTGGAGTTTTTTGTTCTTTTAGGATATTTTGTAAAAAGTGCTTCCATCTCCTTATAAAGTTTATCCTTCTTTGCTTGGTTTTTCTCTTTCTTCCACTTATCATGTAGTTCATGAAGCTCAGAATTAAATCTATGTTCATTAGTATTTAAATGTCTATTAAACTAATCTTTTTTATACAGCTCTTGACCAAAGATGCTACAAATCTCACACTCTACAAATTTACAAAGTCCCTCCTTCTTCATTTTTCACTCTTAATATAATATGGGTTTTGATCTTTAAGTATTTTCTAGTCCAATAATAATATTTCATGCCTGTTATATTTTTTTTAGTTCTACCTTCTAAAATATAGTGTTTGTTATGTTGAAGGTGTCTTGCTATTTCTTTTACCGTGTATGTTTGTTCACTCCACTGATTGCGCGATTCTTTTCTTGAAGTGTAGTTGCCCTTTCCTTTTACAAATACTTTCACCTTATCCCCGACTTCAACCTTCGGATATTTTCTTAAATACTTTTCTTTCAACAATGAGTTTGCCTTAACTTTCACCTCGTTCTCGTCCTTGTGTGCTTCGTCTGGTGTCATATCTGTAGTTGAGTGAACCATCTTTTTGTTATATTTATCTAAAACAGGTTTTAACAACATTGTCCACGCCCCTTTAGTAATTAGTGCTCTGTCTTTTATCATCTTGTTAATAGTTCTTCTTGCTCTCTCTGCCACGTTCGCATGTGTCAACGTTATAATACGTTCGATGCCTTCTCCTTTAAAAAAGTTCTGTAGTTTCTTGGAGTTAAAAGCCCCATCATCATCTGAATAAATGCTACTTGGATAACCCACAATTTTAATGCACTCCATAAGGCATCATATACATCAATACCATCTCTATTTTCCATAGGCACTACATGCATTTTCTTACTGAAATTACCAATACACAAAAACGCATATCGCTTATACTCTTTCTTAAATGTTTTTGTATCCTTCATGAAACTAATCATATCCATAATATCAATGCTATAAACCGCCCTAGCATAAGGCGCTGAATAACTGCTATAATTCTTATAGTTTCTCCTTTGAGTTGTTTGTTTCTTGACCCAGTCCTTAACATGTTGTAATGATACACCCGCACCATCTTTATTTGCTTCTTCATACAAACTTCTTACTGACCCATAACCGCGCTCTACATCATAATAGATACGTTCCAAAATCTCATTAGCACTCATAATTAACATGAATTAGAAATTTAATTAATATTAATTATACTGACAAATTATACTGAGAAACCTGCTATTTTCCTTATTAAGTTGCTTTGTATTTCTTCTTTTTGCCTCTCCTCATAAATTCTCGGACATCTTTCCGTATATTGGTGTTTAGATTTATTGGTATGACTTGTAATAATCTTACCGCGCCTCTCACACTCATAGCACTTATTATTTCTCTTAAAATACTCCTTAAAATAAATATTTTCCCTATTGTAACAATTCAACTTATCATTATGGACTTTCTTCTTCTCCCTCTTGATGATTTTCTCGCTACTATCGCTATCAGTAGTTGAAACATCACCACTATCTATACTATTCCATAACAAATCAAACAAATCGTCATTAATTGTTGTTTTAATGCCATCATCACCTACGAAGTAGTTCGTCATATCTTATCTAATAATGGTAACATTCTTTATATTGCGTAGCATTGAAGAAATATTTACTTTATTTGAGTTTGATATTCAATTTGGAAACATATTATTTGTATCACTGACAGATGCCGTGAATAATTACTTCAACCATTAGTATATTTTAGATATTTATCGCGAACTCGAACTAATTGTTAGTGGTCGGCTTCTTCTTGAACTTCCTGAACTAATATATTGGACAGTTCTGTTTGACGAACTACTTGAAACGTTGACAGGTAAATCTTCTTCATCAACATATTCTATAGTTTGACTACTCGCCAGAGACTTGGGTGCTTCGCGACGCTCGGCAGAGCCTCGCGAGCCTTCGCGCCTTCTTGAACTATTAACACTAACAGGGACACTTTCAACTGGCAATAAAACACTTCTATTATCTACTGATGATGATGATGATGAACTTGACCGTATTGGCGTTTCAATCTTTTTAACTGGGTCATTGCTTCCCCTTGCGCCACTTTCCAGGCTTGTCTGCCGTGAACTTGGTAA